CGCGTTTGCGTTGTGTCCCATACCATCTTAATGTAAACGTCGTGGGTTGTTTGGCTTTGAGCGCTCTGGCTGGTATCAAAGTGTAGCATCCTTAGGCCAATATCCCTACTATATATATATATATATATATATATATATATATATATTACTATAATACATGCACATATATTACTGTTGAACATGAGACATAGAATACTGTAGTGCTTAAACACACGTTCATCAATCCTCTTTGTGTCCATCATACAGTGTGTGGGATTTATACACTTGCTACTGCAACCAGCACACCCGGTTCAGTACTAGCAGAGAAAACACACTTCTAAGCATGTGTTGCACACGTGCACATGGGAGGGCTCTGTGGTATACCCTTGTATTCACTGTTACTGTATCTAGTGGGTTTACACACAGTCAGAAGAGACTGTAAACGATTGATCTGCCAGACCGGTATAGTACAACAATACACTAACCAGCCTTCTTCCATACCACCTGTCTCCAGTATCCTATGTGCGGGATGCACATACGTCCCACTACACCCAGCACACCCAAGACAGCATCAGGAGATTACCATCACCAACACACGTGCTACACACGTGATAGGCCTTTCCTCTGCCTATAGTGCACTGTCACAGATGGAGTGCTTCTCTGGATCGGTGCGTGTGCTGGAGTGTCCTCGAGAGGTGTGCGTCCCATCCGCTGAGGATGGGCCGTACATACCCCTGCACACGCATGCTTACACCCAGAGTAGCATACGGGCACACACAGGCATACCATCACATACGGACGCACAAGTACAAACCCCGCCTGACAGGCTGTGCGAGCCATTGGATATAGCCGAGGGTCAACAGAAGCACAAGCGAACATGTGTTGGTGTTGCGAGAGAGACTGTCGGTAGGATGTTTGAGCTGTTGCTGTTTCACACACACGTCTCCGATCACACACGCACAGACCCGCACTCGAAAACCGCATACGAACACACACAGACACGCACACACACCCACGAACACACAGACACACACGCGTATGAGCCCACAGGCACACACACTCATAAGCGCACAAGCAACCACGACCGTGAGGAGAAGGGCGAAGCAGGCGGCAACGCAGATAGCGCTGTCAGAGAGAACGTTGGAGGTGTACACGCGTACGTTATGACTACGTCGGGAACTACGGGTGCGCCAACGACAGTGGCAGTGCCGCACAGAGCGATAGTGACTAACTTGGACGAGGTAGGTGACTGTGTACAAGATGGGCTGCAAGCACGCGGCACGCGGAGTTTTGTAGTCTTGCAGGTAAATAATAGCCGATAGACAAAGCGTGAAGTGTTGTATGTGCATGTTCGGGTGGGTGAGTTACTTGCATGCATATTGAGATATGTATATTATGTATAACGTATTTAT